TTCGGTATTCTTCCCAAACCATTCTATACTATGCGTTTATAATTCTATTGATTAGAAATTTGGGCAGTCCCTGCAGCGTCAGAGAAGTTTGCTTCATGCTTCACTTGGTCGAAGGCCTCCGCCAGGTCTATTGCTAGAAGCAATATTTTGGTCCCGCCCTCCAGTGTTCGTCTAGAATCCTCCTCGTGAATATATGGTCGCCCGTTGATCTGCCTTTTATGAAACGTGCTCGGTATACTGATGTCTGGAATGTGTGGCCCTCTAGGCACTGTACTAGGTAGGTTGCGTATATCTTGTATCCCGCACTGCATGGCAAGATTGTCCTGTAATGGTCTGTTCCTTGTGGTTACTTGACTTTTGGAATGGGAATCTGCATTGTCTGCTGTCATTCTTTGGGGACCAAGTTCCTGGTTCATACCTCCTGAATTAATTCATGTAGATCCCTTAATAGCCATTGTGATGCGTATTGTAGTTTGGGATTTTTTTCCCCTTTTTCAGTCTTCCTAGTATCTCCACCATTTCGTCCCTCGTGGGGGGTGGTGGGAGTGACCAGTAGTCGTTCTCCTCCATTAGCTGGACTTGTGCTTCTTGTTCCTCCTTCATGAGCTTCTCCCATGCTGTCATTAGTACATATTTTTTGATTCCCCCTTTTTTCCTCCTTCTGTTTTTTTATGTGGTTATACATTTGCGCATTCTTCTCCTTTGGGCTAATCTTGGTGATGTTTTTTTGCAAACTCGGCGAATTATTTGATCTTCTGTTGTTTAAAGGCTCTGTTTTTCTCCTCTCTGGTCTCCCTTAGTTATTTCTTTGCTTGAGGTTTGTGCGGGTTTTGCGCAAACCTCTTCAGTGCTCTGCTGTAGTTGTCCCTGGCTTGCTTCCCCCCAAGTGTTTTCTCTGCCGCTTCCTTGAGCGTTTCGGTAATCCTGTTTCAAGATGGTCTCCCCTCCTCCTAATCTCGTCCTCCTCCATTTTCTTCTCCCCTGTCAGAAGTTTCACATCCTACCATTCGGTTCTCCTGCATTGTTCCCTGTCCTTTCCTGTTTCTTCGCTTCCCCCCCCCCCCCACGTATTCTTTGTCCTCCTCTTCCCTTCCGTCTAGTCTGCCTAGTTGCGCGTTCAAGTCACATAATATGATGTCCGGGTATTTTCCGCTCTTTTGTTCTATTATTTCGCATGTCCTCTGTTGTCCGAGGGGACGTGGCATCCTATAACTGTTGTCCTCCTATGCTCTTCTTGATTTGGGTCATAGACAGATCGAACAAAGGAAATAAGCATCTTATTTACCTCTTTTGGTCAGGGCATACGTCGAGCAATATGTTTAACTTATTTGACAAGTGCGAAACTCTACATGAAATCACAAAAAAACCACCCAGCCCCGACCCGGAACGCACTATTAGGAATCTAAAGGTTCCCCTTGTATGTATACAAAGATGTGTCATCAGCTGTGGAACTGATTTATGGATTAGGGTAGGTACTTGTATTTCAACAATTGACGAGTTTGTTTCCCTTTGTATAAGGTTCCAATTTGTTCCGCCCCCTCGAGGTAGGTATATTTGCGGGTGCGTGTGAGCGCTACCTTGTTTGTCCAATAAACCTGGTTAATTACCTCCCGTGACTTGCGCGCCTCTATTCTATCTTTTCCCCCTTTAGAGAGAAACTTTATTTAGTAAATAAATGCCTGCCTGTTATGCTAACAAGTTGCCTATTTTAAGACACAGGAATATTAACTCGAATATTAATGATTGTTAATGATATTTTACCGAATTCTGAATGACGCATTTAAAAATGTTCTCAAGAATCTCTTTGCTGAAACCATATTCTTTGGATCGACTAGGGGGACGTTTTATCACTGTACCACGAGAACCGATGTAAAGGTGAACAGAAATGTTGTCTAGATTGTAGCGAGTTTTTGGATCAGCGATACATGGTTCCTATATGTTCGTCTTTTCAGTGTCAACAGCATCAAGCTGTTCAGTTCCGCACTTGACCGTAATTGTAAAGGACTCGAATGTTACCCAAAAAAAAACACCTTGCGCAAAAAAGATGCTACAAGTCTACCTACACTTAGGAATCCTTTGATAGGGTTTTCTTTTTTTTCTAGGTGATAACCTGCTTTTCTTAGTAGAACGCCGCTCTGATTTTTAGGGCCGTCAAGGTCCTGCAATTTTTAGTTTAAACGTAAAAATTTGATTTTTAGGTCAATCTTGACCAAATGTGTTGATTTTACTGATACCTACTTTAATTGTAATGGAACCAGTTGGATCTACAAGGATCTCCATGAAAGTTAAACGGTTCTAAATTTACCATAACCTCATCCATAAATGTCAGATGTAAAGTTCTATTTCACATTTATAACCAAAATTTCGGTTGTAACGGGAAACGTTCGGTGCGCGTTTTGTCATCATATTTTCTCTTTTGGGTTGGTTAACATTTTCCGACTGACACAAAAATAGACTCGGTTTCTTCTGTACAATGGATACGGCTTAAATTAGCCTGGTTTGATTGAACGTGATTTCTTGACCGTAGAATGTCTTAGAATCACCTCCAAATTGAAACGGCACGGATTTTCCGGATGACTTCTATATAGTTAGGAAAATTGTTCGCAAATTGATTATTCACACAAAAAGCTTGAACGCCGTCAGATTTCACTGTTAATACAAACACTAACAATATTCAAAAGGGACTGTTTCTTCGGAGATGACGATACGAATGTATCCCTACTTAATGAAACAAGTTTTTAATCAGCATACACATGATTAAAGCGCATTTTTTGTAATACAGGTCAGTATTTTATTAGCGAAGTTTAAAATTATCGATCTCACGACCACGAGTAATTTTGGCTGCGTTAAATAATTAATTTTATTTAATTTCAATTCAGGGTTCGTCTTTATTTTGTAAAACAAATCACAAAGTAAATAATTAAGTTTTTATACTGGTAGCGCTATCTAACGGTAAAATTATAGCATCTCCGAAATCTATATCGAAATTATTTTCAAAAATGCGCTAAAAGCGTTCCATCACGATTGTAATGAGTTTATTTTAACTTATTCTTTAGCCGGCACTAAGTAATTATTTCTTCAGTGCGTACTAATAAGGAAAGAATGTAACGCGTCTAGTTTTAACGTAAAACTTTGTTTCCGGTTGAGTTCCTTATTTCATCCGCGCTTCCCGAGATTCGGATTTAAAATACTGTGTCCTTGATATGACAAATTCCCTATGCCGTCTTTTATTTTTTTTACTAAACGTTTACGTGCCTTTAACACGGGGACGAAATTTTGTCGTAATAACCGAAATTTTATATTTGGCACACTGTCACTAAAAAAGGAAACTATTTTTTTCAAAATATGCATATTTTGCAAGTTCCATGATATGAGTGTTATCCTGATGAGTCTGAAATTGTAACCCAATATTACTAATTAAAAAGATGAAATACGATGCAAACTCTAGACTCTATGCCTCTACCGGTTTCCGAAAGCAATTAAGAAACAAAGCCCCATAGAAAAAAATACGTATAGAACCTGCACTGCAGTCAACCAATTTATTCTTTTCGATTCCAACAAAATCGCCATTTATCTGGGAAATATTTAGAAGCACTAAATTTTTCCCAACCTGAGAATTTCGATGATTATTCAACCCCAAAAACTTATTCCTGCGAAAAGATTAAAAAAGGGTTCTTACTTTCAATACAGTCTGCGCCCTCTTTTGGTGTGAAAGTACTTTAATAAATAGAAATTTACTAAAACGCAAAGAAAATACATTTTTATTGTTCTTGAGTAGAATGACAAATCTCATCTTTTACGTGCATGAAACCACTATTAGTGTGTAGAAAAATTCATTAAATTTAGTAACGCATTTTTGCATTTTGCATGCAAATCTTCTACTTATATCACGAATTAAAGTGGGGCAATAATACTGTTGTAATTTGTATATATTTAAACCGTGCCATGAATAGTAGAGATTTTCTTGACACTACTTTTCCTTGCACGTGCATGAAAAACGACTCTGAAATTAAGAACGAGCACTCCGAAATCCGAATTAATTGAGCCTCTACTGGATTTAGTAATGGAGAACACTTAATTAATTAAATGAAACACATCAATCGCTTCAGGTTTGTCAGCTACAAGTTTTAAAATTCGCTTTTTCATCCGCACAAAATTAAAAACGGGCTCATCGAACAGAAAAATCAATATCGCCCGATCTTTTCGCATTAATTACTGCTATGCGATTTTGGGGCGTTTGAGAGATTAGCTGTCTAGTTTCCGGTGGCGGTACCTACAGACCTTTGCTTTTCATGTAAGGGATGAAATAACGCACTTAATGTATCTAGAAACTGTTAGTTTTCCCCACAGGTCTTTTTACACTCGCCCATAAACCAATTTTACAGCTTCTTCCGGTGCCTGGTCGACCCCTACACATCAAACTAATTGCCTTTTAAGCGATTGAAAATTTTACGTATACGTTGAACAAAATCCATTACACGTTGATGCTTACACGTGAATTTTCGCCGGGGTTTTTTTCGTGGGCTTTTCATAATTAAATTTCGCCAAAAAAACCGAAAAACATATTAGGGTTGTTCGTTTAACGCACGTGAAGAGATCGACGCCGCACGGCATTTGAATGTCAATTTCAACCCCTTGAAAAGGCTCAAGCTATTCATAATTTTTACGTTTATGAAATGTATTGAATGGGGTCGGATTCTTGGCGAAATGTACTGAAAGAGAGGGTTACCTACAATGGCTTTTAAAAATTGCGATTAACGTGTCAAATGCCTGACGTCGTTTATATCCCCGTCCGTTTAGAAAATTTAAAACATGCCACGGGGGTGTCTTTTATTTGCATTTCGGGAATTTCGCCAGAAATAAATATACAGGTACCCGCCATTGTATTCCTTTACCCTTTCCGCGCCCGAGCAATCGTAATTCTGCGACTTTGACTTAAAAATGAAATTTTATTTCTCCCTAATGTAACCACAATATGGCTGCGGCATTGCTTTATCGCCGGCTCTGGAGGAATATTTATACGAGACTGGCGCATTTAACGTCTAAATAAATTTTACCTCTACATATATAAACCTTCATTTTCAGGGGGGAACTACTCCGATTTTCCTTACATCCAATATTTAACACGTAAGTCCGAAGGTGGTCGGGGAATTGTAGAAATTTAAACTTACCGATTGAGGGGGGGGACAGATGAAATTGTACGCGTTACAATCGCAAAAGAGTTGGGTCTTCCTATCGAAATTAATTCGAGTTTAACCCCGTGCGCCGTTAATCTAATCTAATCGTAGATTTAGAGCGTTTGTCCCCCCTTAAATATGTCGGAAACGGTTAGATGCAAATTTTATAGACCCGAAAGCACGATGCCATTATCTAATAGTAATAGATTTTGGTAAGATGTTCAGTTACCCTTAAAAGCAGTTTGTATTTCTACAACCCCATGGTTGAGTTATGGTATCGCCCTCGTCGTAAATGTGTCATTTTATACGGGCGTAATAATATATCAATATTTTTTGGCTAAAACTTTGGTACCCAGTTGTTTTAATATCCACAAAAGCTTCGCAGGTTTTTATGCGAATGTTCACCACCTGTGGTGACTATGTGGAATTATTCACAAGCGCATTACAATAGCCGATGGGTAGCGAGTTCGTGTGTGCGAAGCATTGTTTTTTTCCTTTATTGTTCTCGATTTTCCATTAAAGTTTTTTATGTCTTTCGTAGAAACTTACAATAATTACCTCGGGGACATTATTCATGGACATGTCAGCGGGCGTTGTCGTGAATAATGACTTTACCTACTGAAAACTATTTGTGTATGTAGACTGTAAGCGAAAAGCTGTCGATTTTGCTGTTCGTTCCCTTTGATTCCTGTTTCAAAGCATGTAGTGATATTGACAATGTAGAACGCGGGCACTCCGTGTTTGTGCATATACAAACAACTGCACATTCGCTTGGCATTAATGCTAATGTGTACATTAATTGAATTTCCGTTTCGTAATTGGTTTCATTAACGCCACAAACACTTTTATTAGGTATTTTATAATTACCTGTACATTTCATTCGCTATGTATGAGGTCCTTGCAGGAAGTAAACCCTAACTTCTTCCTATAATCAAGTTTTTTTTATTATATAGCTATTGTCATTGAACTAAAATAGTTTATCGATTATATGGTTATATCGGGTAAAAGGTTTTGTTTTTTTCAAGTATTTTTCCATTTTTAGTTGAGAAATGCACAAAAAATCATATTTTGAACCCATCGACTATTCATCACCAGGAAACTCAACTTGTTCCGTCTAAATTAATTTACGTTTACTCTCAAAAAAACTAACCAAGGTATCTCGTCCCAGAGAAACCCCCGTCTCGATATTTGACACTGTCTCACAATTCGACTCTAAATTTTTCTATTCGAAATATTCGTTACCGCGAAATTCACCTCCGGAATTTTCCTCCCACATTAATTCACCTCGATACATTTTTTCATTCTCACTCACAAGTTTCCCTTTACAAAATTTAGGTCGTTTACCCTCAAAAAACCGCATCAAGTCAACTCACCCCAGAAAAATTGCCTTCTCACCGAAATATTCGTCACTTTGCACCTTTGGATCTTTCCTCACAGATTAATTCACCAATCCGAAATATTCGTTACCGGAAAATTCACCTCTGCACTTTTCCTCCTAAATTAATCCACCTCGTTTCTAAAATATCTTCCCTTAAAGAATTTAAGTCGTTTACCCTCAAAATAACTCTACAAGTAATCTCGCCCCAAAGAAATTGCCGTCTTGCTGCTCGACTCTGTCAAATTTTCTATCCGGAATATCCGTCATCAGGAAATTATCCTCCGGACTGTACCTCGCAGATTAATTCACCTCTATAAATTTTCATATCCTCACTAATTTCTAAAATAGTTTCTCTTCTCTCGTCGTTTACCCTCAAAAAATCCACCGTTATCTCACCCCAAAGAAATTGCCATCTTGCTGTTCGACTCTTTAAATTTTTCTATCCGAATTATTCGTCACCAGGAAATTCACCTCCGAACTTTTCCTCTCAAATTAATTCACTTCGATAAATTTTCTCATCCAGAATCGTTTCTGAAATAGCTTTCCTTCAAAAAATTCTAAAACAACTCACCAAGTTATCTCGCTCCAGAAAAATCGCCGTCTCGCTATTCGATTCTGTAAAATTTCCATCCGAAGTATTCGTCACAGGAAAATTCATCTCCGGGCTGTTCCTCCCAGATTAATTCACATCGATAAAATTTTCTCATTCTCACTTACAGCTTTCCTTTAAATAATTTGGGTCGTTTACACTCAAAAAAATTCACCAGTTCCAGTGAGATGGCCGCGCCGTCTCGCTATTCGATTGTACATTTCTCCATCCGAAATATTCTTCACCGGGAAATTCACCTCCGGATTTTTCCTCCCAGATTAATTCACCTCAATAAATTTTCTCACCTTCATTCACAGCTTCCCTTAAAAAAAATTGGGTTGTTTACTCCCAAAAACTCACCAAATTATCTCGCCCCTGACAAAACGCCGTCTCGCTATTCGACTATCTAAATTTTTCTATCCGAAGTATCCGTCATCGGGAAATTAACCTCCGGGCTGTACCTCCCAGATTAATTCACCTTTATACATTTTCTCATTCTCACTCATTTCTAAAATAGCTCCCCTTTAAAAAATTTGAGTCGTTTACTTTCAAGAAATCGCCGTCTCCTTAATTCGACTCTTGTACATTTTTCCATCCCAAATATTCGTCACGGAGAAATTCACCTCCCGAGTTTTCCTCCCAAATTAATTCACCTCGATAAATTTCCTCATTATTACTGACAGTTTCCCCTCAAAAAATTTGGGTCGTTTACCCCAAAAAAATCTCGCCAAGTTGTTTCGTCCCGGAGAAATCGCCATCTCGACTGTTTTGGCCTCCAGATTAATTTTTCTCGATACATTTTTTCACCCTGACTCGCTTCTAAAAAGTTTCCCACCAAAAAATTGAGTTGCTCCCAAGAAAACTCACCAATGTGTGCCGTTATACAGGGTGAACATTTTGTTTGGAACATTGAGTATATCTTTCGAGCAACTCTTTTTGAAAGAAGCTTTGTATGGTATCCGAAATTAGAAAAAAATTGCTACCAATCAACTAAATTTGTGGTCAGTGGCGTACCTATCCATGGTCAAAGGGAGCATATTTTGTAAATAGCAATCGCTAGTGCGGTGAAACGGAAAACGATTTCCTGTGGGGCACCCCCCCCCCCAGCTGTATACCATCGTTCTATTGCAATTTCCAGAAAACCCCCATGAGATTAGGACGCGGGTTATAGGAAAAAGAGGTATCGAGTTTTCCTTTTCTGAGTTGTCTGTGATTTTTTGGAAACAGTCATTGAATCTTCTTTCGCTGGGGGGAGGGGGGAATTCCACACCCCCTGGAACCTAAATGCTACATTATCTGCAATACTTCATAGGAAAAGATGACCTGATGATCTCAAAAACAACGAGTGTCCTGAGGGCTAAACGTCTTGAAGGTAACGTAGCACCGGGGGGTGTGTGGGGTAAGGAATACCCTCCAGCTTGATACGATCGTGCTATTGCCAGAAAACCCCCATGAGATTAGGGCGCGGTGTTATAGGATAGGTATCGCGTTTTCCTTTTCTGTTTTTTTTTGATTTTCCGGAAATGGTCATTGAATCTTCTTTCGCTGAGCAGTAATCCATACCCCCCAGGTCCCTGGTGCTACGTTATCTGCAATACAGTAATGATCTGAGTCTGCATCCTGAGGGCTGAACGTCTTGCGGGAGCGCAGAGGGGTCTGGGGGGCATAGAATGCCCTCCAGCTTGATGCGATCGTTCTATTGCCATTTCCAGACAACCTCCATGTGATTAGGGTGCGGGTTATACGAAAAAAAGCATCGAGTTTTCCCTTTGTCGGTACCCACTTCGGACATCTCGTTCACCCGCAATTCGTTCGTATTTTGGTGGATTTCGCTATTGGCAACACGAGAAAGAGAAGCTGCGATTTGAGCTCTAAAAGACTTTCGGATGCCCAAAGTTGACTACTCCTCGAAGACGCAAAAGGGGGTTAATTTCTCACAGCTTTGAAAAAAAACAAAATTCCGTCACGGAGAAGTTGTGCGCGTTTATAAGATATTTCAGAGGACACCGATTTGAAAACAATCGGACCATAACTGTAGCAGAAGGTGAGAAAACACTGAAAGTCACGTTAGTATAACACGCTTAGGGATGGCGCCCAGATGTCGCCTACAATCTCGAAAATTATAGTCTTTCTTTGAGCGTTCTTCTACGGGTCCGCATTTGCTGCCAGCCAGCCATCCGGCCAAAGTGAAATTAAAAGCTACGTTTTTACAAAAAAAATTGCATTAAAAAGAGGTATCGGGTTTTCTTTTTATGAGTTTGTGATTTTCCGGAAATTGTCATTGAATCTTCTTTCGCTGTCGAGTATAGACCCCCCCGGTGCTACGTTATCTGCAATACTTCATAGGAAAAGATGATCTGATGATCTCAAAAACGATTAGTGTCCTGAGGGGGCGGGGCAGAGAACGTATCTGCGGAGGGTTTACTCCCCAGTTGTATGGTTCTATTGCCATTTCCAGAAAACCCAAATGAGTCTAGGGTGTGCGGATCTTCTCAAAAATGATGAGTCTCCTGAGGGCTAAACGTCTTGCGGGGGAGAAAATAGCAGCGAGGAGTCTGGGGGTATGGAATAATAACCCCCAGATTTATACGATCGTTGTATTGCCATTTCCAGAAAACCCCAATGATACTAGGATGGGGTTTATACGAGAAAGAGGTATCGAGTTTTGTTTTTCTGGGTTGTTTGTGATTTTCCGGAAATGGTCATTAAATCTTCTTTCGCTAGGAGTATTCCAAACCCCCAGCCCTTGGTGCTACGGTATCTGCACTACTTCGTAGGAAGATGATCTGATGATCTTCTCAAAAAAGTTGAGTGTCCTGAGGGCAAGACGTCTTGTGGGGGAGAACGTTGCATCGGGTGGTATGAAGTACCCTCCTGCTTTATAGAGCCTTCTAGTGCTAGACTAGGGTTCGGATTGTAGGAAAAAACTTATCCAGTTGTTCTTTTTTGGGTTGTTTGTGATTTTCCGGAAATATCTTCTACTCCTGGGAGATATTTTGCCCAGACCCCCCTCCCCCGTCCTACGTTATCTGTAGCACTTCGTAGGAAAAGATGATCTCATGATCATCTCAAAAACTATGAGAGTCCTTAGAGCGTCTTGTAGAGGAGAACCTTGCATCGAGGGGCCGGGGAAGGGGGGGGATGTACAGCATTATGCGATCCTTCTATTGCCATTTTCAAACCCCCATGAGAGTAGGCGCGGATTATAGAAAAAGGTATCGAGCCTTGCTGGGTTGCGTGTGATTTTCCGGAAATTGTCATTGAATCCTCTTCGTTATGACGATAAGAAATTAATGTGTCCCTCTATGTCTCTTACCTAATATTAGAGTTGCATATTTTAATGATTTCGCTGACCGATTTGCTTCACCAAGCAGACGGCAAAAAAAAACGGTTTTCCGAATATAGGTAGGGTTTGAAGATGTCACGATTTCACTATTCCTAAAGTTTTAAATTTCTACATTTGTCGCAATTGTCGAGTCATATCTCAGTTTCGCAACTGAACTGAACTGACTCCAATGTCCTATTTCCATTTTCATCAATTCGTAGACGATTTGGAATGCAAAATTATCCTTCCTTAGTTATTGACGAAACCTGACGACAATGAAAATGGGGGTTAAAGGCAGGTTTAAACTCCTAAAAAGCAGCGTGAATTGGTAACGTGACTGTAAGGTATTATTATGCAAAGTACCTTTGTCTTAATTACTAACCTTAACGAAAGATGGATGAATACCAATTTTTACTTGCACACGCTGAAAAGGTTTTATTGTTTAATTACAATTCGAAAGTAAGTGGCATTTAGGGGAATTAACAAATTAAAATTTTATTCTCAATTAAAACTCCGTTTTATTTTCATGGCGGATCACGAACACGGAGTGCCTCACGGATCAACACGTGGACCAAATTCTTTGTCGAATATGTAGTTTAGTGGCAGTGATTACGCACATTAAACTAGTACTAGAATCTCCTTATAATTTATTAAGGTATGCTGCATATTAACTTAATATTGTGGTCAGGCCTCTGCCCATATAAAGGGGTATAAAGCGGATTTAAAGGGTTGCAATTACGTACGTCCAATGAAAATCATTTATTCAATATCGTGCGTAATAATAGGTGCATTGTTATTACGGGTTATTTATTCATATTTATATTACTTTTTGATTCGGTTTTGTAATAAAACGCGATGAATAATTTAATTTCCAATTTTCGCGTATACGAATAATTAGTCTTACGGCTGTTAAACGAAATTATGTGGGCACTTGCTCATTTGAATTCATCTTATCAAGGGCTTCGATAGGTAGCGGTACAATCGCATGTATCACGCAAGTGGATCATTTACAAATTGTAATATCCATTCTGTCATATACTGATTAATAATGCTTCATTGTTAGATGATTAGACGAAGCGTGTGCTGTGGCTTTTTTAAATTTTGATTTTACATGAATTTTAATACGACTTTAATTTATGGGCGTTTCGTGCTTTTGATGTTCTTTTATACCATTATTTTTGGTGTTGTACTAAAATTGCGTGTTTATTTTTTGTGGCTAATTACGGCGTCATCTTTATTGATGAAACTCTATTGAAATGCGCTTTGATGTCGAAACTAATTACGAAAAGGCTTCTTTTTATTAAATATCGATCGCGCTAGCGAAATCGAAATTATTTTAGTTTGTACAAGCAATTATGAAACTGTTTGATGTCGCTGCGCACACACGGACTTCACCCTTCCAACCCCGGTGAAATAAAACGAACGACTGTTTTATTTTTATGTAAATTTATTTTATAAATCAAATCAAAATTGACATTTGGGGCGTAATCTGTACGAGTCAAAATTTATCGGAAAAATTTCAGTACGTTGATATGCAGGTTAATGTATTGTTTCGTTATTTATGCCGCCCGTTTTGATTTCGAATAATATATCTCAATTTTTTCCTACCCTCGTTTGCAAGATACGAGTTTTGCAAAACTACACCGTAAATTCGATCCGTAACATAAATCCTTCAGCCTGCGAAAATTTCCACCTCGCGCGAATTGTTCGAGTGCCGTAATTTTAATCCACCCCTTTATGTTTCAGATCCTCCCGAAATCACGATGAAACCAAGAAACCAACAAGTTAAGGCCGGAGGAATCGCCGCTTTTTATTGTGCGGCCCGAGGAGATCCAACCCCCGTTATACAGTGGAAAAAGAACAGCAAGCGGGTATCGGGTAAGTGTTTTTCTCTGTTTTCCACATATCCTGTTTATAATTGACGACTAAAAACAAATGAACTTTAGCAAAATGTCGATCATAGAACTTCATATTTTATACTAAATTACTGTGCAAGAAAAGGTAAAAGTTATAGATACGGTGCAGTAAACTTAATATGAAAACAAAAAGTAAACGATATGAATGCAAAATAAATTTACGGAAAAGCTCAAAATTGCGGTACTTACAAAACGTACTACCTTGCGAAAGTGCAAAGGACGGAAAGATCTTACTTTTCGGTTACAACCCCCAAAGAAAAAAAGATCCCCTCTAAACAACTGCTTTACCTGTTAGAAAATTTAGCTATGCCATGGAAGGATCGACGGTTTTTCCAGCCGACACAACGTGTCCTTGCGGTAACGCTGGAAACTTAAAACTTCTTTAATTACGTTCTTCCCAGGCGTCTTCAAAATACGGGACTGATGTCAACATTCAAGTTTTTTAAGGGCGCATCTAACGAATGTAGTTTCCCCTTAATCGGAAGCTATTATATTTGTAACCCAGTCAACTAGTTACGGTTAATTATACTTATCCAAAAAGTCGAAATGAAATCTCCAAATTAGGCAATGCCCTTTTGTTCCTTGGAGTGTGGGTATCAAGCGGCGAAATGTGTTATCACGTTGAAAACTGCACGACCTTGCTGGATTAATGCCGATGCCGATTAATGGTTACTTAACAGACCTAACACTTAACAAGATTGATTCTGGCTCTTCTTCCCTGGTTCCTACGGGAACGGTTGCAAACGGCAAATTATAAAACAGCCTCTTATTTTCCTTAAAGGGCGGCTCTACAAATTAACTCACTAATTTCTACCTTTCTCGAGTGCGACCGAATACTCCCGGTATTCTAGTTGAGGTGCCAAACAGCATTTGCTTTCTCTTCTGTTTTAGAACACTGTAATTTACCTTGCTTTTTAGGAGCTCCTTCTAGGGGCTCGGTTAATGGAACCTGCAGGTGGGCTGCATGAGAAGTGCAGCGACGGTAATGATTCATCATACACAGAAAATGCCAGCTCTCAGACGCATCTCTTCAGCTGCATGGTTTTGGTAAAAAGCACGTTGGAAATCCACGATTGAAAATACGGATACCTTGCCTTCTTGGAGATCTTCTATAATAGGTAGAGGATAGCGATTAGGGACAATGGTGGCATTGAGACGTCTATAATTTCCACTCGCTTCCAACCACCCCCTTTCTTAGATACCATATGTGAAAGACTGGCCCACTATTCAGCAGCACGTCAAATTCATTTTCACAGCTGCTAGGTGTTCTCAAGTCAGGCGACGAGCGCGGTTAAAGACTGTGTGCCCGTGAAAATGGCGTGTTGTACTGGAAAGTCGGGTAGAGCTGCCATTTTTAGGGATATGCCGCCGAGTGGACAAGATCACCGTCAGGTACAGTGACATCGAAAGCAATTGTCACGATGGACTTCGGATGGTTTGAGTTAAGCAGGGGTCGAAAATTCATGTTTATGTCAATGACCGGGCCAAAATTCTGCAGAATATCGGCTCCAAGGATTGCCAATTGGACGTCAGCAATAGTGAAAGTGCCAGGTAAAATCTCGCCGAAGATCAATATTTAGTGACAATTCTTTCTTGCTATGACAGAAGAATTGGCTGCGTCTAGGTCCAGCTGTTGTCTTTGGAAAGCGCTTTGATATAGCATCGCATTACAATCGAATGGATGTGCATATATATACCTGCGCAAAGAAGACTCTTTTGTCACGGCTTTCAATCAGAATCAAATGCTCTTCAGCTGTGCTTTGCACGGACCGGGTATAGAATGCCAGCTGTGTTACGGAAGAGCCTGCAAACGCCGGGCTGCCAACCTCACCCTGACTGTCCTCCACCAAATACACGAACGACCACAACTCGGGCTGCCGAATATTGTCATAGTACTTGAGGGTCGCCACCGCCTTGCCCTGCTGGACACTGGAGCTTTTCACAACTTCATCGACCGTCGGCTGGCCAACAGCAAGAACAAGGGTACCAAACTCACGACGGTACACCTAGTCGCAGCCGGCAAGACCGTCTACCTCCTTGGGAACACCGAACTTCAGTTCGCAATAGAGGGAACAAAGCAACAGGAAACCTTCCTGGTAGCCAACGACCTCGCAAACCCCATTATCCTGGGCCAGGACTGTTTACTTCGCAACGGGGCAGGCTTAGATCACGGTAGCCGATGTGTCCACCGGGGCAAAGAACCCGTCACACCACCACCACCAACACTGGGTCCGCTCCGCCGAGACCACAACGTCACCCAGAAGATCGAACCGGCCAAGAAGGCGATCATTGTCCAGGAGATAGAAACAATGCTGACTGACCGATTATTGAACCGAGCACCTCCAGCTACTCCTCCCCAATCATCATTATCCAAAAGAAGGACGGCAACGCTTGTTTCTGCGTGGACTACCGCAGGTTGAATGGCTGCACCCAAATGTGAAACCTACATCCTACCACTTATCCACGAGACATTTAGAGTTGGGGACAGCGAAGGCGTTCTCCACGCTGGACCTCAACTGTGGATACTAGCAGGTCCTCCTCCTCGCGCTCACCGCATTTTTGATTCCCGACGACGCCTGCTACAGTTTTGAGTGACGCCGTTTGGACTAAAGAACGCCCCGTCCACCTTTCAGATGGTAATGACGCAGGAGGTACTGCCGGGGATCTCTAGGAAATTCGCCTGGGTATTCCTCGATGACATCGTGGTGTATGCGAACTCGTGGGAGGAACTCGACCCTGTGCGGATAGTGATTGAGCGGCCCCAACAACACACCTGTGCACAAGACAAGTACCGTTTTGGGGTGACATCCATGGCGTATCTGGGCCACATCATGGCAGACCGGTCACTCCTAGAACACGTGGAAGTCCTCCGTAGGCGCTCAACATGCCGACAGGCTCCCGGGCACCCCCAAACCAACCCAGTTGAACGAAAGAACCAAGAGGTGAAAAAGAGGCTGCGCGCGCACCTCACCGGAAAACCCAACGCGTGGGCGCGCGTAATACCTCTCGTCCACTTCAACCTCCGGACCAGAGAGAACGCGACCACGGCCATTAACTCAAGCAAGGCCTTCTTGGGCTACAATTTGACCAGACCGGGAAAATGGCGACAGAGAACCCAGGGCGAAGACTACAAAAGGCGTTACGCCAACTACAATCCAGCGGTTAGCCAGTACCAAGTTGGGGTGCGGGTAATGGACAGGAATCGGAACCGCAAAGCCGCTACCCTAAATGGACACCATAGAAACGCTGGCTGGAAACAACGCCTACTAGATCCGGAGGGACAACGACGAGCGCAGTAAGGTCCACACTCACGAGTTGCGACCCGCATCATCTCCACCAGCCCCACCAGTTCCTGCTGGAGGTTTTTCGGAAGAGGGGGAGCTGTTACGGACGAGCCTGCTATTGGTGAACGCGGCTCGGCCCACGGCGAGCCATCCACCGAAAATATAAGCAGCGTCGAAACATCCAGGAAAGGAAGCTCAGTAGAGCTGGGAAACTCTACCTTACATTTAAAGCGGCCACTGAGGCTGGTGGCCGCGACTCTGCTTTCTCCACTGCCCATCCGAGGCAATCCAGTTCCCATCGCCACGGCGTTCTGCCGCGCCGTCCAGATGCCACGCCGAGCCAACCTCCGTCCCGCGGAGCCCTCAAGCCTCCACCGCCCAGCAGCACTACGATGCCGCCGCCATCGCGCGGTCCTATACAGAATAGATTTGTACATATTAATTCCTAGAGTTAAATATATCGCTTGTTTGGACGCTGTCGCCACCATCTCCACCCGGTAACAGCTGAGGCCGTTTCTTCGGTGTGGAATTGAAATTGGCCCTCGAGCTGCTCTCTGCACGGACCTGCTATAGAATCCCCGCTGTGTTACGCCATGGATATTGTTTGTTGTTTTCTTTCTTTGAAATACCGCGAAAATGCTCTTCCGCAGGGCGACGGTGGCTCGATAGAGATAATGGGATGGCTCGCCCTTGGCTTAATTTCTCGGGATTCACCAATTGGGCGGTTTAACTTTTGAAAATGTGACCAACGCAGATTTGGGACCTCGTACAGTCGCTTAACGAATGCTGTTTTCCCACTATTTACACTCATATTTATAGGTACCGCCTTTGTAAATTCTGATCCAATACGAGCTTTATCTTACAAAGATGAATTGCATTGCTATATTTTCTAACAAGCTGAGCCAGGATTGGTAGAATCAAATTTCTGGAATTATAGGCAGTGTTGGTATTATACACTGCCTCCTAAAGAGGTTGAAAAAGCCACCCCCGTACATTATCTGGAGCCACGCACGGTATGACGGTGGAACTTCCACAGAGGGTTCGAAAATAAATACAAAACAAAAACTTCTGACTGCACATGGGGTTCTAAAAACCAACCACCTACGTGCATTATCTCCAGAAAAATGCATGGTACAACAATGAAATTTACGTCCGGGGTTAATAATAATTCGAGAATAAATGCAAAACGAAAACAGTAACCTTAGCTGAGGTGGTTGAGGGTTATTCATCCCCTTTTCTCTCCTGTCTTCCCCTAATTTTTTTGTGACTGCTGTGTTTTAAGTATACGGGTTGTAAATTTTGTCTGGAACACTTAATGACTTCAAAACAACATTGTTACAACAATTCTAGTTTTAAAGCTACACTGTGTTCGAGATTACAAAACGATTACAAAAAATATGCATATGGTTGATATACAAAAAATGGAAAAATTCGGGATTCAATGCTTAGAAAAGTATCATGCCGTGTGAGGTTGTGATGCGCGGTGTCTGTTGTGTTGCACTGTTACACAGAAAAGACCTATGTCAACTTGGTCAATGTTCCTTTTGCGCGATACGATATCCCCGTGTAACATAACAGACAGCGCGCATCCTAACGGCACACGGCATGCATCCTAAGTATTGAATGCCGAATTTCTTCATTTTTACCTCCCACTTTTTTTTACTGAAATACACGTTCTAAAGCACCAGGAACCCGAATGAAACAAAATCTTGATTATGTCGGGCTGTCTGTTTGTACTGTCATTGCAGGCTAAACGGTTGAACCGATTGGAACCAATGGTACACATATTCTTAGACATAAAAGGAAGAGCCGAAAAGGTTTTGGGCATGCCTATGGATGCGGGTGGTATCTGTACTAGTCGCGTGTTGCTTTTTTTAAAGATCTTAAAAAATGTAAAAGTTGTAAGATTTCCGAAATGATACGAAAAATTTCAATATGCCATCGGATCGATCGTGATGTCGCATACAAAATTATATTTGACCATTTTTTGAATCTCGCCAAATAAATGAGACCCTCTCATTTCGAACGCACAGTATATTCAGTGTTCAAGACAAAATTTCCACCCCATATATTTCGTAATCTAATTTTACTGCGTTCTCCTTTTAAGTTCTTTCGCTCTGTATTTTTACTTCCGTTTGTCGTTATTCCGCTTTGTTTGTGTCTGTAAAGTCAATCATAGACGACGAGATTTTGCTAACGCCTGAAATACTGAGTTTATGTTTCGAAATTCAGCAACACCGTTTCGCACAGGAAAGAACTAATCGAAACCGAAAGTTATTTCACATGCCCGAACTTTTGTTTGCTGCGTATTCCCCAACGGTAGGTCTCGGTTACTGTACCGAGTTGCTTATGTGTGTAAATAGCCCGTGGAAACTTCTTAATATCCCTTAAGTAAACAATTAATTTGGATTATAAACAGATTTGAGCTTTTCCAAGATATTGATCTCACTTGCTCGTAAATGAATAAAAACGTGAACAGGACTATTGAAATATTAACGTAAACAGTTAAACGAACTTCATTTGTCTTTAGATATTACTTTTAAGCCTAACCATTGAATAAAGAATCTGATTTATTATTCAATGGTCTTACGAACTACGAACAATTTTTAAAAAATAATGATTTTTCCTTCAGGAACTCAGTCTCGCTATCAAGTGAAAGAATTTCCGGACGGGGGTGCATTGCTGCGTATTGAACCGGTTAAGGCAGCAAGAGACGACGCCACCTACGAATGCGTAGCGGAGAATGGGGTTGGGGACGCCGTCAGCGCCGAAGCCACTTTAACCGTCTTTGAAGGTAAGTGCTTTTTGTGATTGTAACGAAAATTGTCATTGAAACGCGAAATAGTGTCGGCCTCAATAGGATCCCTGTGGGACTCCATCCTAGTCGATGATGAGTATTTGATTGGGAACCATGTATTCTTGTGGTGATACGAGCTTGATTAATTGTTAATTTTACTGTTCAAAGTTGAATAATGCAAGATCTTCACTCAAAACACTAAAATGGTTAGTACAGAAATGATTAGATACTTTGTTACCTAAACCATCTGCGCGATTAAACTAGAAACTTTTTAGCAGCCAGAGTAATCTAATTTACCACCGCGAACTAACTTGGCAAATAAAAAGGAGTTTCGAAACTTTACTAAGCGAAATTTACAAGAACTTCCCAGGCGGCAATAAAATTATGAAGTTTTTAATTTTAATTTATTTTTAATATTAGAAATATTGTTGTATATTTATGTGACAAAACTTTCGAAATTATTTAAGTGCGGCCTTTTTCTGCCTCTCGTAAAGCGCGCTGCGGTTTAAACAGGGTGCGGGCGCCCTCTTGTACCCCGTTTACTTTCCAGTCTGTCCAAACAGAATTCGCGTGTTTTCTCTTAATAAACATACCGATGAGTTTGTAACTACATTATGCAAAAAAAGCAGCCCCGCGACTTTATGAACTGCATTTTCATGTCAGAAGTAAATTAAGGACGTCTTGTCGACGCTCGCCTTTTTCAAATTAATGCAGTCTACGCATTATTATTACTATGTACCCAATAAACATTTACATTGCGATGCAGACAATCGTTAGAACTACCCATATTTACTCACTCGCCTTGTTTACAATTCGTAGTCGACGGTACTCATTTTTCCCTTAGCGCTTATTACTTGTTTATTACTGTGCAAACAGTTAAAGGGTAGTCTCGACGATGTATTTGTCCTTCACTGCACTCACTGTATTGAAAGATCGACGCCAAGTTAACCCCAATTATGAAAGCACACCTTTAATAATTCAGAATAAAATAAGACAGAATTTTAAGGTTTAGAGACTAAAGGGACGAACCTACTCTTTAAATATAAGGGTAAAACTATCAATCTCGAAGTATTACTATGATTTCGGTACAACAGTAACTGTAACGAAAATTTAATTACGTTTTTGTTTATTTGCAATTAAGTAACAATAAATTTATAACAGTCGGAAATGGATTAATTTATAACAGCAATTATTATTTATCACCTATACAATTTATAACATAACACAAGTGCATCTAAGTTGCAGCATTCATTCTAGAATGTGCTTTGCCTTCTGGCAAATTCCGAACTAACCCAATCATACTTCTCGACTGGTCAAGAAGTAAAGTAGATACTTTAAAGCTGTAAAAAGTGCAAGGTTCTGCCGTATATTCCCAAACAAATTTTGGTCATGATGAATGGTCATAAAGAATTTAGGTGGTTGATTATGGTCAACGAAATATTGTGTCACATCTTCGTAATTATTTTTGTACGGGATTTTGTGTTTTAATTCCTTTTGGCGATAAGATTGCGGGAGTATAGATCAAAATCCTGTATTTTTTAAATAGAGATATAGTATTAGTGGAGTGGGATTGATTAATGACTTTTTAAACCATCTAGGATTGGTAGTAAGAAAGACGCTAACCAATGAAAATATAGACGTCGTGCATCTAAGTTGCAGCATTCATTCTAGAATGTGCTTTGCCTTCTGGCAAATTCCGAACTAACCCAATCATACTTCTCGACTGGTCAAGAAGTAAAGTAGATACTTTAAAGCTGTAAAAAGTGCAAGGTTCTGCCGTATATTCCCAAACAAATTTTGGTCATGATGAATGGTCATAAAGAATTTAGGTGGTTGATTATGGTCAACGAAATATTGTGTCACATCTTCGTAATTATTTTTGTACGGGATTTTGTGTTTTAATTCCTTTTGGCGATAAGATTGCGGGAGTATAGATCAAAATCCTGTATTTTTTAAATAGAGATATAGTATTAGTGGAGTGGGATTGATTAATGACTTTTTAAACCATCTAGGATTGGTAGTAAGAAAGACGCTAACCAATGAAAATATAGACGTCGCCATTTTAACTGATAATTCGCCATTTCAATTCACCGTTCAAAATTTGACTCAGTAATTAAGAGGGGGATTGGTTTTCGAGAACTTTTGGTATTTAAGGCAGAAGAAGATATTCGCGTGTTCATCGTTGGGGCAAACAGAGACTTGACCCGTTGTATCAGCAGTGACCATTTAAAAAAGTGAAACCGTTTTAATCAGGAATCATGTGTTTACGGAAAAATTTACGGAAGTTTCAAAGCTCGTGAAGAAAGTTAGTACCCAAAATGCAGTTTGATTAAATTCCTGTCATAATCAGGAAATTAGCGGCTAACGAAGACACATTTAATTCAAATCAGAAAAATTCCAGTTCAAGTAGTGCGATCGAATAAAAAACTCAGCCCGAAGTTAGTATCCTCTAAGAATAAACGTATCATAAACAATCTTTCGTTGTCGCGTATCAAGGAACGTGAATCATTTCCGGGCGACAGACTAAAACTACATACAGCGTCCTGTATAGAGTAAGAACGATAACCCCCAACGTTTCGTTATCTTTAAAATTTTCCCCGGAGTTTACAATTTCAACGAGAGTTTAAGACAAGTAACCGTTTTCAATATTCAATCCAGCCGACCGACGTCTGATAATTGCAAGGAGTTTTCCATGATTGTACAACAAAACCGAAACATTATGGGACCGTCGCCAAACGTCCATTCCAAGAAACATTCACAAAAGAGGTAAATTGTTCTTGGTTGTGTCCGTTTGGAAAAGCCAATAATTAATTTCTTGCACTTCCACAACAGAGTTTATTTAAAAGTCTGTAACCGTCGTAAATGTTTGAGATTACGATTCTAATTTAACTTTTTTGAAAAGAAACTTTTAAAATACCACGCCAATAATCTAGTCACACCAACGAGAAAAGCGCGAATCTTCTTCGCTACAAGATCGTACTGATTGCCGCGGATGGCAAAACGCGAATCCCTAGAAGTTCTCCAAAACAAATCCCCCCTCTAATTACTGAGTAAAACTTTGACCCCGTTCAATGGTGGATTATCACTCAAAAATTTTCATTGGTGTATGTCTTTTTTAATACCAATCCTAAACGGCTGTTAACGATGCCACTCAATGTAAAACCTGCACGTTCAGCAAGTTCCACAGTACGAGTTGATGAAAAATACGCAGGAATAACGGAGTTATACGTTTTTGAGGGTATCACAAAAAATATTTTAATTACAATGCAGACGTATCGATAACCAAGATGCATTCAAGCGGTAAGCTGACGGTGTACGACGAAATTAAAATATTACCTTTGAATTCTAACCACGGCCGTCTGAATTCAGAAGGGTGCTGTCTTCCACTAATCTGCAATCCCATAAAAACAAAAACAATACAGAGAGCGCGGTATATAAATGCGAGACAAATTAACCAGTGGCGTATCAAACTTACTTTTTTTTCTAAATGGAACTCCCCATATTTTATTACAGATTTGGATAGTACCTACTCGAAAAGTACTTTTGTATGTATGATACTCTTAACTTTAGCGATTTCGCTGTTATAACCTTTCTTCCTCCAAATTTTACCGTTTTTCGAATTTTTCTGAGAGAAACTAAATCGCTCCGAAGGCTAAGTTTTGAATTAAGCCACCTCTTCCACTTTTTTTAAAGAGAGGAATCCAGGTTTCGGAAAAACGCGAATAAATTGAGAGACGTTCTCTTAAGCGACTAATATTCGATGACCACCGTACTCCGATTTGGGGAAAACGCTTAAACCGAACTAACGTCCACTTTTCTTCAATCTTTTACTATGCGTAGCACTCAACTAATTTTTCTTATAACATTTCTGGCAAAATTGATTGTTTTGCAAACAAATACGCTCAAAGACGTAGACGGCCTCGTTATAACCTCCATAAAAACTCGATTCACGTTTTCCACCAAAAAATGAGTCACGTTTAACGTCCGGTTCGCTATTTAAAACGGTTCGAAACACAAACCAAAAAATGAGTCACGTTTAACGTCCGGTTCGCTATTTAAAACGGTTGAAACACAAAAGGAGGAAGAGTGTACATTTCAGTTAACCACTAAAAGGCAAAAGGTCGATGGTAAATATGGTACGGTTAAATAATTTACGGCCTAGTTAAAAATGTTGGTACTTACAAAACGGAGCTGCGAAGATGCAAAAGTAAAAAAATACTCTTACCATTCGGTTAAACGCCAAACGCGAAAAGATCCTATTTTATAGTACGTTTTCTATTTATCTAAACGTCTATTTGAATAGAGACAAACTGGAACTCCCGCCCCGTACGCCTATACCTTCGATACGTTCAAACAAATTAATTTAATTAATTACTCCTATCCCAGACATCGGAAAAATATGCGACTGACGTCAAACTACACGTTTTTTAAGAGCGCTTCTTTTGAGATAAGACCCAGTTCAATAATTTAAATGTCGATCCTTAATTATACTGCTGTGTAAACAATGTCGGTTTGGGACGTTGAGATTTAATCAATTTCGTGGAATTATTTGCGAATAAACACAAAACGATTTTGAGTATCCGCTTTGTTTATCTATTTCACTGTAAAAGAACGAATATTTCTTCGAATTGTTAAGGGTAAGAAAATGTGTATCTCAATTTCTGGTATCATTTTGTTTTGATAATGCATTTATGACAGATCCTGCTTGATTTATTGGGTATTCGTTTATTTTATAAAAAGATTAAAGTAGACAATTAAGAATCCCAACATTTTTTTGGGTGGCACGTGTTGTTTAAGTGCGTTGTCTCCTTTCGCAATTAGTGTTTTTTATGTGCCCGGATTTTTAACCCTAAAACTGTAAGTAATATTAGGATTTCTTGATGTTTGTTTAATTTAATCGAACGCATAATTATTTATGCGGGGTTTGTTTATTCGGACGCTGTGGTTCAATTTTATGTTTAATTTAGGTAATTTGTGGTCGAAGAATAAATTTAGCG